CATCTCTCTCCCCCATCGCGGGTCGTGAGCACCTTTGCTTGCGTCTGGCTGCCACTGTTCGTCTCCTAAGACTGTGCAGGGCACCCTTCGCTGACCGGAGGTGCCACCTTAATCTGGATCAGTGGGAAATCTGGTCCGTGCCCACGCAGCCCGGGGCGGCAGCTCACTGCCTGGCTGTGGCCACTGCGACTCCTCGGGCTCTGCAGATCAGGCACCAGCCAGGACACGGGCAGCCCCGAGGAGCACGGCCCCGGGCAGCCTTTTGTGCTGCGTGATGGTGCACAAGCGCATTAATCGCTGAACGAAGCCAGCTTAATGTCCCACTCTGCAAGCAAAAGCGGGAGTGAACTGGGCTGAGATTAAGGCATTCCTTGGGCAGTTCCCACCCCCTGACCCCAACTGCTGTATCTTGGTCTGCGAGGCCGTTAATGCTACTTACATTATTACTGGATTATTTTGGTGTAATGAGCTTTGTCCTGCTCAGCTGTCCCTCTGCTCAGGGGCGTTGTGATGTGTAATACTTCCTGTGCGAGGCCACGAGGCGGGCAGCTGCCTGCTCAAAAACAAGCAGAGCCCCAGCAAAACAATGCATTAATGTTCCCGGAGCAAAATTCCAGCATGGGCCGGAGGTTAATCACAAATCAGCGAGCTTTTGGCTTAGTGCTGAACAAAGCCAGCAGACAGGAGGGTGATGGTGCCCTAAGCCAGATCCTGACCCATCTCCATGGGTACAAATAGGAGTGACCACATCTGCTTCCTCTCTGCCAGCGGTATAATGCAGCTATAAGCATCTCTTCCATTCTTGACTCCTTTTCCTCTGCCTTCCCTGCCATCAGACTGCCAGTGGAGGGGCTTGGTGATGTGTTGCTATGGACACCAAGAAGTTTCCCCTGGAGACCAGAAGCCCAGAATAAGTGATTCCTGTGTTTTCTGACATTGATTATTTTTTCCCCTCTTGTTTTTTTTATTATCAATATTTAAGCGTTGATTAATTCTCAGCCTTTCACCCCACCTCTCTCCTGCTTTTCTCTCCGAGCTTTGTGGATTGCTGTGGCTGTGTCCCAGGGCTTGGCTTCTGCTTCATTCTCAGCAAGGGTGGGAGCACTGGGTGTGTGGGAGGAAGTTTCAGTGCTGTAACTCTTGCTCTGCTGGGAGCCCCTACAGAAGAGATCCCCCCTTTATTCTAGTCTCAGGAGATCCTGTTAGGGTCAGGCCTGGGTCCCCCCAGGCTGCTGCAGAGTTCATGGGTGCCCACCACCACCACCAGCTGATGCTGCAGGAGGTCCTAGACCCGCCTTCCCAGGGCTTGTGCCTCCCTGCAAAATACGCCTGGAAAGCATGGGTGGGGGTATCCTGCTCCCTTTACAGGTGTCCTTTGTCGTACCTGGGACCTCAAAGTGATTCAGATCTAGACTAGTTAATATCTCTGCTGGTGTGAGCTTCAGGCCTCACTCCAGTTTTACAGGTCCTCTGTTGGCCCTTTAGTACCTCACGTACCTCAGTTGCCCTCTGAGAGCTCTTGGCCAGCAAGAGCATGTGCAGGAGGGAAGTGTCAGCAGCTCTTGGAAGTTCATGTCGAGATTGTAGGCTGAGCTTTGCAAGGGGGCTGGGGGGCACTCATGGTAAAGCACCTCTGCTTTACTTGCAACCCTCAGGTAGGACTTGGCAAAACAGCCACTCCCCAGCAGCTCTATAGCCCCAGGAGCACCAGACAGGGAGGGTCAGCCCGTTTTCCCGGTGGTGAGCAGTGCTACACGGCCGTAGAGCATGTCTTCGGGCACTTAGCGTAGGAGATGGGATTTTACAGTCTCAATGTCATTTTGACTTTGCTTTGCTTTGCTTCTGAAGCCAATAATGGGCTATTTCTGTTCCCTGTCACATGATCTGCCCCATGGTGAATGAGGGGAGCCTCTCTGATGAGTGAGCTTCTCTGTCCCGTGCCCCTTCCTCCTTGCTCTGGGGGGAATTCACATACCAGGTTTCAGTCAGCTGCTTCTCTTGTTCCTGGGAATGCAGTTCAGCATTGGGTCAGAAAGTCTCTGGTCCATTGAAATCCTGCCCTTCACTGCTCGAGTTGCCCAAATTGCGACTCTCTCTCTGAAATATTACAGCAAACAAGTCCTTTGCTGCTTGGCTGCTGCCTGCAGCGGTTGGCGTGATGTCAACCAGCCCGAGCCCCTGCAAGCAGTCCGTGTGTTCGTAGGTGGGGCAGGGAAAGCGGGAGCTGCTCTTAAAACGTTTCCTGTGTGCGTTTGGGGATTGTGCTGAGGTAGCAGAAAGACCCCCTGCCCTGTATGTGTGGGGCAAGGTGAGAGAGCATCAGCCCTTCGTGGTGGTCTGCAGAGCTGCCGGAGGGGGATGAAGAGTGGAGATGAGTCCCAGGACTACCTGCAAGAGGAGAAGGTTGGCTCTTGCCCCTGGTTCCAGGGGACCCATGTTGCCCTCCCCTCCCCTGCAGCCCCGGCTCAGCGCACAGCCTGCCTGTACCATGGTGCAGCTCCGGAAGGAGCAGCGGGGCTGGGGTGTTGCTCCTTGCTGAGGAGGTGAGAGTTCCACCAGCACCAAACACTCAATTGCTCTGGTGTTTGAAAGCTCCTTGAAAAATGACTTCTTCATCCAGTTCCTAACCAAACAAGCGCAACCTCCAAAAAACAACAGTTCCTTCCCGTGCTGCTGCCAAATCAGCGCTCACTGGCATGTGTCTGAGCAGGTCAGCAGCAAGCCAGGACTGCTCGAGGGCTGAGCGGAGCACAGCTGGTGGGTAGCTGGTCCCTGCGTTGTCCTTGGGCACCTGCTTAGGAGATAGGAGAGCATCCAGGGAGCTCTGCATGGCTTTGGGGTGATGGTGCAGGTAACCTGGCTATCCACACAGGGACAGGGAGTGCTGCTCAGCACTTAGGACTGCAGACCTCTGAGTCCAACACGGGTAATGGCTCTTTTTTGTGGGGACTGGGAAATCCTGAATCCAGACAGGGATGTGCACCCAGCTTGGGGTCACTGGGAGCTGGCACAGTCTTGGCTCTTGGTTGCCCTGGGCGATGGGCTGATGTCTGGCTGCTGTCAGTCACCAGAGGGCTCTTCTTCAGCTGCCCAGCTGAGGTCAGTGCCACAACACCCAGCTGTGTTCTGAATAATAACACACTCTTCTCCTCCCTCGCTTTTCCCTCCCTCCTTTCTGCCAGCAGTTCCCTATCAGCAGAACCCCTGCACCCCTGGGAGCAGCTCCAACGTCATCCAGTGCTACCGCTGTGGGGACACCTGCAAGGGCGAGGTGGTACGCGTCCAGAGCAATCATTTCCACATCCGCTGCTTCACCTGCCAAGGTAGGACAGTGCCACCCAAAGAGCTGGTGGCCAGGTTGCCTTGTGGCCCTGGGTGCAGTCTGGAAAGGAAGAGGCTGGGGGCAGACCTACCTGGCCCATTGAGATATGGTGACACACCCAGAGGTGGAAGCTTCCCGCAGGGGTGGATGTGGGATGGTAATGGCTCGAGGCTGTCACGGTTCAGACAGTGCCCCTGTGTGGTGCTGGAGCTGGTAGGCTCTGAACGGGATGGCCAAAACCTGGGCATCGTCATGGCCCTTGAACTGCATGAACATCAGTAGCCCTGAACATAGCTATGGACCATGTGTGATCTGGGGAGGCCACTGCATCCTTCAGCCATGCCCCCAAATCGAAGGAGGAGCTGTCACCAGTCTAGCTGAGAGGCAGTGGGACTGGGGAGATGCCCAGAGTGGCTTCTAGTGGGGCTGGGGATGGGTGATGGTTCAATGCCACCCACGTGTGGGATGTGACTGAGATGCCATGGGATGCAGCTGGGTCTCAGTGGCCCTCAAGGGCCGGCAGAAATAGAGGAGAGAGGTTGTTTGAATTCTCCCTGAGCACAAAAGGAGAGCTGTGGAGCTGTAAAAGCTAACGGCACAGAGCTGATGCTGAAATGCTCCTCAGCATGTTTACTGAAGCAGCTGCCCTCAACAGTGGCTGTGCTGTAGGTTGTAAAGCATCCCATTACCATGGCTATTTAAAGGTCTTCCAAGTTCCCACTACCTTGTGCAAAGCAGGACATAAATCCCCATCCCCTGAGCCATGCTTTGCTGCTCCTCCCCAGGGAAGGGGAGGTTTGGCTGGAGGGAACTCTTCCCCTGGGCTGTCACCACCCCTGATGCAGCCCTGTCCCCCGTGATACGGTCAGCCCTGGGTCTCTGGGAGGAGATGTGGGCCCCAGGTTGCCCGTGGGGCTGACCTGCACATGCAGGGTGCCATGCCAAGCCCCCTGCCCTTTCCCGGCTCAGACATGGGGGATAGAAGGGGAGCTGTGCATCCAGACAAAGAGCTCAGACAGCCGCCAGCTTCAGAGGGTCCAGGAGCCAGCGGGGAGAGCTTGGCAGTGCTCACTGCCTGATTTCCAAGTGAAAGGGAATGAAAAATGAGAGGAAATCCTCCTGTCTCACCTTCCCTCACAGCTCTTACCCCCTGCCACCAGTGGCTGCCACTCGCCAGCCCCATGGCTTGTCCCAGACCCAGACGTGTCCCCAGGAGCGTTGCATGGCTGGTGCAGCCCCTGGGGATGTGCTGTGGGTCCCACAGCAAACAGAGCCCAGACGTGCCTCTTTTTTTCTTGCTTCTGTTTCCTGATACTGTCCCGAAGCTGGTGGCCTGTCCCTATTTGCTGACAAGTGAGAGTTGGCAGACTCTTCTGGAGAGCAGTGGGTGCTGGCCCTGTATTCCCCAGCTGTCTACCCACAGCCCCAGGGAGCAGCTTTGCCAGAGGACGACCTGCAGGAGAGGAGCTGCATCTCTGCCCCTGTGGGTCCTGCAGTACAGCAGGTCCAGCTGTGCCCTGCGGTGGGTGGCTGCTGTGTGGGCTGGCCCATAGATGCAGGTGAGGTGAGCAAGGATAGGACAGAGGTGCTTGAGGGTGAAGAGTAGAGACCAAGATGAGCTGTGCCAGCGGGTGTTCAGTTGCTCTGTAGTTCTCCCCCTTCCAGCCTGTCACTTTGCAGGACAGGTGATGGGCATTGTGCAAAGGCCTCAGGACCTGGTCCCTGTGCCACTCCTGAGGTGACTTCCAGGGTCTGATGCTCTCAGAGTCTCTCTGTGGAAGAAGAAAGCATAGGAGAAAATGACACTAAGGACTAGAGCTTGCAGCATCTCCTTGGATTACTCTGACGGTCTGTGCACCACCCATGGTTTGCGCAGAAGGGAAGGAAGTGAGGTTGGTCTGGACACCTATGGAAAAACAAGCAGTGAGAGCACCAAACCCCGTGTGAGCCAGGACCGGTTCCAAATAGGGCATGTCTTCATGTCCAGGCCACGGAGCGGAGATGGCTGGTCACGGAGAAGCCCGTGCCTCAGGGTATAGAGAAGACCTCTCCCCAGTGTCCCTAGGGCATGCTCAGCAGTTTGCCAGCCCTATTCTCGGCTTCCTGACACCATGAGAGTGTCAAGGGGAGGGGCTGAGCCCCACGCAGGTGCCCTGGGTCCAGGAGGGGATGTTTGTGCAGGGGTTCCCATGCCGGCGCTGGGGTTTCCTCTGGGAGCGCCCCGCC